GTTGTAGTTAGGTTACACTGGCATCAAGGTTGATTAATGTTCAAACCCCGATAAAAGCTAGTACCTTGAATGCTGATTTTCACAAGTCCAGTAAATATGTTAACAAAGAACTTGATTTCATTTGTATTCTATAGAATGGATGAAGTAAAAGAATAGAACACGACACATGGATATTTTTAGATTTTACAAGTATACAAATGTACTGATTACAAGCAGGTGGGAATATTGGTTTTTAAAAATCAGTATTTGAAGTTTTAACTCTTAACTGAGACAAGTGCTAAGGTGTAGCACAAAGATATATTTGAACTGTTAGGAAAACTCAATCTATTTGAAAAGTATGTTAGAATAATCTAGAACTTATACTGGGTTTAAACTGCTTGTATCCAGATAGAAAATGAATAAAGTAGGTATACAAAAACAAATCTTTTCAACCTCTACAATGAGGCTATTTGAAGGTAACTGGAAATCCTAGGATTTATTATCAGTGAGCAAAATCTAAACAAAATAAGATATGCAGATGACACTGTGATGATGGTAGATACAAAGGAAAACTGCAGGACCTCAAAGACACGTTGTCTTGCTAAAATATAAAACCCAATCCTTAAGAGAAAACAAGAGATAAACCTCTACTCCTGTTCAAAAGACTGGGGAGGAATGTGAACTGGGCAATAGAATAACCTATCTGTGAAAAAATTGTCCAGCATTCACTGACATATAGAAGGATTGATATTATATAGCAGTCCAACACCCTTTCTCTTTGTTTCTAATGAAATTTTCCTGTTTCTTAATTCTTTGTTTAGCATTTGGAAAGCATCTTTTGTTATTCCAGTGCATGTTCGGTGTCCTATTTTTCATTCCTAAGAAGCTGGAGATTCTTTGAGAATTTATTATCAGTGAGCATCATGTTAACAATATAGGATATGCATATAATACTGTGTTGATGGCAGATATAGAAAAGAAAACCACAAGACTACCTAGGCAGGATAGTAAAGGAAAGCATAAATAAGGTACTAACCATCAACTGCAAGAAGATAGTATGGCTGTCAGCAAGAGAAAACACATAAGATGTGAACTACACTACTACTGGCAACATCAAGCAAGTACAGAAATTGAACTATTTGGTTGGTTTGATTTGGTTTGGTTTGGTTTAGTTTTGTTTTGTTTTACGGCATATTAATCTCAATGGGTTATTTAATGCTGATAAGATTTTTATTGCTGGTAATATTTTTTTATTTTCAAAAATTTATTTCTGGTAATATTTTTCCTTCAAAAAATCTATTTCTGGTAATATGTTTTCTTCAAAAAACCTATTTCTGGTAATATTTTTTTTAAAATCTTTTCTGGTAACCTTTTTTCTTCAAAAAATAATATTTTTTCTTTAAAAATCTATTTCTGTAATATTTTTCTTCAAAAAATCTATTTCTGGTAATATTTTTTCTTTAAAAAAAAAAATCTATTTCTGGTAATATTTTTTCTTTAAAAATCTATTTCTGGTAATATTTTTTCTTTAAAAAATCTATTTCTGGTAATATTTTTCATTCAAAAAATCTATTTCTGGTAATATGTTTTCTTTAAAAAACCTATTTCTGGTAATATTTTTTTTTTTAAAAAATCTATTTCCTGGTAATATTTTTCCTTCAAAAATCTATTTCTGGTAATATTTTTTCTTCAAAAACCTATTTCTGGTAATATTTTTTCTTTAAAAAAATCTATTTCTGGTAATATTTTTTTTCTTTTAAAAATCTATTTCTGGTAATATTTTTTTTTTAAAAACCTATTTCTGGTAATATTTTTTTCTTTAAAAAATCTATTTCTGGTAATATTTTTTCTTCAAAAAATCTATTTATGGTAATATTTTTCCTTCAAAAAATCTATTTCTGGTAATATGTTTTCTTCAAAAAACCTGTTTCTGGTAATATTTTTTTCGTTAAAAAATCTATTTCTGGTAATATTTTTCCTTCAAAAAATCTATTTCTGGTAATATGTTTTCTTCAAAAAACCTATTTCTAGTAATATTTTTTTCTTTAAAAAATCTATTTCTGGTAATATTTTTCCTTCAAAAAATCTATTTCTGGTAATATGTTTTCTTTAAAAAACCTATTTCTGGTAATATTTTTTTCTTTAAAAAATCTATTTCTGGTAATATTTTTTCTTCAAAAAATCTATTTATGGTAATATTTTTCCTTCAAAAAATCTATTTCTGGTAATATGTTTTCTTCAAAAAACCTATTTCTGGTAATATTTTTTTCTTTAAAAAATCTATTTCTGGTAATATGTTTTATTCAAAAAACCTATTTCTGGTAATATTTTTTTCTTTAAAAAATCTATTTCTGATAATATTTTTCCTTCAAAAAATCTATTTCTGGTAATATTTTTTCAAAAATGTATAGCTGGTAATATTTTTTTCTTCAAAAATTTATTGCTGGTAATAATTTTTTACAAAATATTTCTGGCCTTAAAACCTATTTTTACACTTTCATAGTGTTTTGACCCCAGTTTGTGGGTTAACTATTTGCCCATAGCTGAGACCCTAACAGGTGTTACCACCCCAGGTCAGAGTGGACTGGGAACACCAGCAATTAAGAAGTGGTTCCATACTCCTCAAAACCTCCTGATCAGAGGCTTTGCTGTTGTTTATTGTCTTACCCAGGATGTAGATGTAGCTTATTGTCATACTCAGGGGATGGGAACTATTTGGGAAGTGATTTAACAGAAGATGGAAAATCTAACACCGAAAATTTGAACAAGCATTGGATGAATGAAAGCCGCATTCCAAAAGCAAGGAAAAAAGTGCTGAATTTCTATGTGATATTGATCCTCTTTTATGACAATGAAGAGAAAACTAAAGGAAAATAGAAATCTTGTTCTACAGAAGGATGCTGAGAATTCCATGGGCAGAGTGTGCAAGCAATGAAGAAGTTTTAAGGAAAACAGAAACAAAAAGGACACTTATACACAGAATGAGAAAGAAATTTCTTGGACACCTAATGAGGAAAAAGGGCTTATAGAATTTGACACTCACAGGAAATATCAAAGGCAAGAGGGACAGGAGAAGGTAGTCAACTATCTACCTGTATTTGCTTGTAAAAGGGATGGTAGAACTGGGTGTGGGGAGCTTGGAAAAGGGGAGAATGCTGTTAACAGCTACAAGGGATACGAAATTGTGAAGAACCACGATCACTCATGTTCTGAAAGGACAAGACACATAGAAAATATTATAGAAAGCATTTTTACAATTGCAGTTTTAATTAAAAGAGAAACTAATTGCTCAAGGCAAAAAATATATAGAAAGTGCTCTAATTTCTGAGTTTTACATGGTAAATTTACATCCAGGGTCATACAGCACATCACCTTTTTTAACCAAACTACTGCTAATACAATGTGGGATAATTAAAAACAACAGTTTTAAAAACAGAAAAACAATAGTTGTAAAAAGTTGAATGAGATAGTTTATGTTATACATGTAGACCCACAGGAAGACAAAAATTCAGAAATTTAAAGTAAAGCATCTCTGTATTTTCATTGTTTCTCTCGATGTATAATTGAAATTTGTAATATTATGTTCCCTTCACCTATATATATATATATATATATATATATTTGGTTGGATTGATGTGAGTTTGTGACCCTGGGTTTCACGCTTTTACGATCGTCAGACAAACTGATTAATTTTTTAAAATTTTGGGTTTATGTAGATTGCGTGTATTGGTGTTATTATGGAAGTGGGGGTGGGAATCGTCATCGTGATGTCACTCATGCTAATGCAAACATAGATGTATGTCCATACACCCAGGGTCAGAAACTCACATCAATCCAATCAAATATGTTAGCTCTATCTCTGATATTGAGCACTTTCTAATAAGTACGGCACATATAATGTATAAATAATATATATATATATATATATATATATATATATATATATATATATTTTTTTATATATATATATATATATATATATATATATATATATATATGTATATATATATATATATATATATATATATATATATATATATATATATACATACATACATATGTGAAAAGTGTGTGTATATATATATATAATATATATATATATATATATGAAAATGGATACATATTCAAACAATATTTTTTATAATATACTAATTATCAAACAAAATTATTTATAATCTTTTCTTACAATGAGTTCTCTTTCGATGTATATCCTCTTTGGAATTATCAATACTAATTATCAAACAATATTATATGATTTCATCAGTAAGACATTAGTCTGAAGATGACAGTTCAAAGAACAAAATACACCACATGTGATTTATCCATTTTGTCATTCAATTACCCACTATGAATGGTTGTGTGGCTGAGTGGTTAGAATGTTAATGACTGAACCAGTTTTTGTATCTCACCAGGGTTGATTTGTCAAGGTGATGTCTTCTTGATAATGTCAATCTGGGGAGACGTTTGGCCCTGTTGAGAAGTGCCTGAAATCCACTCCATAGATTGACCCAAGCATTATGAGTGAAATTGAGTAGATAGAACATTTAAAGAGTTTAAGGATATTTTGGCCGAGTTCAAACAGTTTTTTTTTACACAAGATTACATGTTCTCCCCACAAAAATGTAATTAAGTTCCACCCAACATAGATGCAATATAAACCACTGGTTGGCCCTGTGAGTGTTGAAGAAATATAAATGTGGCTGAGTAGGCATTTGCAACAGAGATTATCTAGCCAGCTTAGCAGACAAACATACTCAAAAACGAGTGACCAGCCATCATTTATATGTATGTGTGTGTGGCTTTGTCGAGACAAGGACAACATCCATCATTAAGCACTTATAAATGTGCTTCCTATACATCTCAGTGTCATTTATAAATATAAATCCAAATATGTGTTGACAATGACAGATTGTCATTTTCACAGACACACAGGTAAATACATACCAGATATATTTGGATATCGACATATTTCAACAGAGCTTTTTATCTATCAAAATATACACTATCTCAGCCTCTCTTAGTATTTATCTATCTATCTATCTCAGTCTGTTCATTATCTATCTATCTATCTCTCTATCTATCTCAGTCTGTTCATATGTATGTATCTATCTATCTATCTAAGTCTGTTCATATCTATCTCTCTATCTCAGCCTGTTCATATCTATCTATCCATTGATCTGTTCCAATCTGTTGATTATTTTATCAATATCCATGTGTTCATCATCTATTTTTGTGCGTTCATAATCTCAGTCTGTTTCTATCTATCTCTGTATACATATCCACCTGTCTATTGATCAGTATCTATCTATCTATTGATCTGTTCCCATCTGTTCATTATTTATATTCATATCCAAATGTTCATCCTGCATTTTTGTGTGTTCATTATTTATCTATCTCAGTCTGTTCATATCTATCTATCTATCTATCTCAGTCAGTACATATCTATCTATCTCAGTCAGTACGTATCTATCTATCTATCTATCTATCTATCTATCTATCTATCTATCTATCTATCTATCTATCCCTGTTTGTTGATCACCAGTAATTAATACATCCCAGTCTGTTATATTTATCAATTTTTCTCACTCCACCAATATAATTTATAGATATTGATACATACATTTAATTCGTGAAATATATATGTTGATCAAAATTTCTAAGTATACAAACCATACAGGGGACTGGTAAGAATATGAAACACATGCATGCACATGCACAAAAGTCCACATGCCCGCTCAACATCAGAGTTGTTGTTTTGACTTGGAGGCACAATGCAAAAAGTCTTCAGCATAACTGCTTGTTTCTGAGCATGCCCAACTCTGCTCAGACCTGTTTGTGTTTCTTCACCATCCATACAGCCAACTTCTGATTGATACTGAGCAGATCTTAGTCACAGTTCAAGTATGTGTCTCACCAGGGCTAAATACAATAGTGAATTCAGAGTTGTCCTCCTATACTGGTTGCCAATTATAGCTACAAAATCCAGTCTAACCTGCTATTATTTATCCCATACTTGGATAAGAACAGATGGATTCATACTTTTCCCCAGGGTATTTTTATGAAAGTGAATGCAACAATCTTGACCAGAAGATGAACTCGGCTTGCAATTTCTCATTCTAATCCTCCTAGCATTACTCCACCAGCCTGTTGTCAAACAGAAAAAATCTACATGCATAAAAGTGAGTACACATTGATATCAAATACTACACTTATTATAAGAGAAAATAACTTACTTAGATGGAAAGTTCTTGAAAGTGCAACTATCTATTCTTGTCAAATGGTAACTTATGCCCTGGAGTTTTTCAGATATCTCCTTTTGTTAAAGGAAATACTCCTTTTCTAAGCCAACACACATGACCATCAAAGTTTTGAAAATTAAAAGAAAACAGTTATCTGTTATGGAGTAAATAAGACATGCCAGTAACACAAATGAACCAGGCAAGATGCCTTAAATAAAGAACTCAAAATAAGTCAAGAGAAGTCAATTGGAGTCAGTCAAAGAGAATTTCTAATGACGTCATGCCTAAGCAAGACAATATGATTTATTAAAATAAAATAATAAAGAATAATTAATAAATAAATATATATAAACAAATAAGACAATAAAAATTCACCAACAACAATAACATTTATATACTTTCATTTATTAGGCATTAAATTACATCACCTAGCATCCTTCTTAGTCTACATACATCTTAAAGCATATTTTAAAGCATTCTTAAATTTAAAATTTTGAAAAATTAACAGGACAGATATAATTTATTTTTATCTGAATTTATATATATATATATATATATATAATATAAAAAGAAGCGAGAAACTGCAAACGTTTTTGGTGTAATGTGAATTTTTTTAAATTCACATTACAACCAAAATATATTATGCTTTATTTTCCATAATTTTGCTACATGGGTTTTCTGGTCTTGCAACCTTCATCAGGCAAAGAGTGGATATTTTCACATATTATTAAAAGGAATTAATTTTCCTTATGTTTTTCGATGTTAAATATTCTCGATATTAGACATTCTGTTTTTTGTGTGTTAGTGACCCAAATGTCTTTTTTGAATTGGCAGTGAAAGAATTCTGCATGAAGGGTAATAAACAATAAAGACTGATACGAGAAAGGGTGAGAAAGATATCTATATTCGTATCTTTTAATGACACCTGTGTGTTCTTAGATCTATTTCCATTTTTTTTGTGTTTTTGTCAGTTTACACATATTCCCTCTCTCTCTCTATATATATATATATACTGTCTTATTATAAGGAATTAGTATACACATATATACACATACACACAAACACACATACACACACTTCCTATGTTGTGTAGGGTTTGTGTGCATGCCTGTGAGCAGTTTTGTTTTTGTCAATATATGTATATATATATATATATATATATATATATACCAGTACGCGCATCTACATGCACACTCCCTCTCTATAAACACATACTGTCTTATAAGTCCCAATGTCTGGCAACAGGTCTCTGCACCATGCCATACAAGCAGAAATCTAAGTCATGGCTGTCAGACAATTTCTGCGACCACATAACCTCTTACATTTGACCACCTAACTCCCTAGACTTGCAGCCCCACCTGATTATTATGTGGGGAGTGGAATTGAGTAAGAGACCAACAAAACTCCTTGTGAAACCAAAGATTATGGCAGCATTTACCAACTTAAACAAGGAGACTGTCCAAAGGATTGCAGGAGATTCTATAGTCATCTGGAGGCTGTGGTTGAAGCCAATGGCAATTTTAATGAATAAATTTACTCTTTATTATTTCAAGATATTTTTTGTGTAATTTTGGTAAATATATCTGTTAAAATGAGATGTCAGTGTTATTTTCATTTTTGTGTAATTTATCCATTGTGCCATGTATATAACTATATAGTTTTTCTCTATCTCTTTTTTCTGTCCCCAGGCATAGACAAAATTCTACAGGAAGGTAGATGCATGTATATATGAAAGTGTACAGAGTGCTGGAATGTAAATTGTATCAAGCAAACAGGATATATAGTTCCATGTAGGCTTCACTATAAAATGGTGTCCACCATCTCTTCAGATCAGCACTCATCAAGAAAATGACCGCCAATAGAACTCAAACCATCAGAAATTTATCCCTTTTGGGATTCTTCCTCTGTCCTTGTCTTTCTCTTCTTACTATTTCATTTTGACTTTCATTCAAGGTTGGAGTGGGGAGGGGAGAAACAACTGCCTGGTGACAGTTTCTCTTCTTCACAAGGAGAAGAAAGCCTTGATCTTGGGCAGTGATTTTTGAGCTAATGGAAATGCCATCAAGAGGCAATCATTGTCAAGTCAACCAAAACAGCCTGAGTATCATTTTATTAACACCTAAACAAATATCTACTTTACAGAACATTTATTTACTTACATACTTAACTCAGTCTTCTCTTTCTTTCTTTTTCTGATTTCTTGTTTCTATTTGAAAACTTTCACATCTTTTTAATGAGTTTATCTGTCTGAATTTTTCTACATTTGTATCTAATTTGTCTAATCTTTTTAAAATTCTTTCTATTTGTTGATACTTGTCATTATTCATTATTTATTTTTTGTCATCTTTCTTTCTTTCTTTTTTTGTCATTTTCTTCCCTTCCTTCCTTTCTTTGTCATATTTCTTTCTTTTTCTTTGTTAACTTTCCGTCTTTTAACTTGTCATGTTTCTTTCTTTCTTTCTTCAATTGTCATTTTTCTTTGTTCTTCCTTTCTTTCTTTCTCCCCTTGTCATCTTTCTTTGTCTTTGTCATTTTCTTTTTTTCCTTTTTCCCAGGTCTTTTCTTTCTTTTTCCTTGCTATCTTTCTTTCTTTTTCCGTCTTCTTTCTTTCTTTCCCCTTGTCATCTTTCTTTTCTGTCATTTTCCTCCCTTCCTTCCTTTGTCATATTTCTTTCTTTTTCCTTGTTAACTTTCTGTCTTTTACCTTGTCATCTTTTACCTTGTCATCTTTCTTTCTTTCTTTCTTTCTCTTTCTTTCGTTCTCCCCTTGTCATTCTTCTTTCTTCTTCCTTTCTTTCTTTCTTTCTCCCCTTGTCATCTTTCTTTCTTTCTTTCTCCCCTTGTCATTTTTCTTTCTTCTTCCTTTCTTTCTTTCTCCCCTTGTCATTTTTCTTTCTTCTTCCTTTCTTTCTTTCTCCCCTTGTCGTCTTTCTTTCTTTGTCTTTGTCATCGTCTTTTTTCCTTTTGCCCTTGTCCTTTCTTTCTTTTTCCTTGCTATCTTTCTTTCTTTTTCCATCTTCCTTCCCCCTTGTTTTTCTTTTGTTTTTTTGTTTTCAACTTTTCTTTCTTTCCTCTTTTGTCATCTTTCTTTCTTTTCATTCTTTCTTTGTCCTTTAATCTTCCTTTCGTTCTTTCTCAATGTTGTAAAATTAGGTAGATGGAACTTTTGGGAGTCGTTGATGGTTGTGCTAGCACAAAGTTTCATTGTGACTGAGGGGTTTGCGTGTCTGGCCTTGTTCAAACTGTTGATCATTAATGTTTTTCTCCCAGTAACTTCCACTTAGTTATAGTGAATAAACACAAATTACATAAGCAGGTTTTCAAAAGTTTCTTTATCTTATTAAACTTTATGAACCACAGTTTTTATATATATATATATATATATATATATATATATATATAATTATAAATTAATTGATTTAAAATATGTTATTTTCGCTACACAGTTCCAACCATGTTTCAAAAATAGAAGCTAAAAACCCCTAATTTTATTTTTGCAAATAAATTAAAAGCATTAGTTCCATTTCATCTTCAAGCGAATTTTGGAGTAACTTTTAAAATTTACTTTTAAATACTAAAATCACGTTTCCATGGTTACAGAATATTCTACTCAAATTGAACACGGGGTGTCTAGATTTTCCTTTGACATATCATTTATCAGTTATTAGCTACATTTTGGTGAGGGTGAGGATGTATTTTACACTGAAACTTGACGTCGGTTGAATGGATGTCGTCTGAATTTAAAAAAAAAAAAAATTGTTAACAGTAAAAAATTTTCAACGTTATCTTTTAAAATTAAAGATTTTTTTTACATTACTTTTTTATTTAACTTTGATTTGAAATATTTTCCTTTTTAATTTTATTTTACTATATTCTTTTTTAGAACAGTTAAATGTATTAGAATCCATTATATTATGTAGGATTATTTTAACATTAAGTTTAAGTATGTATATGAGGTTACATTTTTTTTTTTTTTTTTTTTTTGTATATGACTATGACAGCAGAAATGGTTACTTAATTTCACTGATTCAGTAAACTTTTCTTTTATATATAAACCTATTATTATAATATTTCACATGTAAATACTGAGGACATGGGTCATTCAAAAGCTTACATGTTATGGTATTTCAAATTTTATTTTGTTGATTTTTGGATTCTTTTTGCCAGATTTAAAAGAAATTTAGTTAGAATTCATTCAATTTAACTCCAAATTCAAAATTAAACTTTAAAATTTTAAAATATTTTCATTGTTTAGTTTTAATAGACTATATTACTTTATAACAGAAGGAAAATTACTCATATTAAGTAAGTTATTTTCCATATCAAAGTATATAAATTTTTTTTTTTTTTTTTTTAAATAAATTTAAGTAATATTAATGGCACTTACTACAAAACTAGCTAAGTCATTTCTCAGATTTAGTAAACTTTATTTAATTAATTAATTAATTTATTTCAAATATATGTAACCTAATTAATAAAGTTTCATAATGTATAAATAACATGTTAGAATTCATTTTTATTTTTACCTTTTAATTTCAAAAAAATTATAACTTTATCTTATTTTAAACTATATTACTTTATAACAGAAGGATAATTACATTAAGTAAAAAATTTTTCATATCAAAGTATATGTAAATTACAATTTTTAAACTTTTAATTTAGATATTATTTAAGATATGAACTACAAAACTATCAAGTCATTTCTCAGAATTAGTAAAACTTTATATTATATATATATATATATATATATATATATATATATATATATATATATATATATATATATATATATATATATATATATATATATATATATATATAATATATATATATATATATATATATCTCTTGAGGAGGCATGGTGGAGTAATGGATAGCGGCTTGGATTGAGGAATCAGAGAGCTGAGTTCAAATTTTAGTCGAATCCATTACATTCACTTACGTGCTAATACCCTTGGGAAAGGTGTGAATCCTCTTCTTCTCCCTCCAGCTATGGGTAAATAGCAGGAGAGACCAGGTTCTATAGCCTTGGATGGCAACTGGTCTAGGAGAAGGACAACTCTGAATTCAAAACCTGTGGAGGGTCGTTTAGAGACCTTGTGGCACGTAGTGCACCAGGTCTCTGTATTCGGTCCTTCAAAAAGTGTGGATGGTCCTGCACGAAACCTTCACCACTATAATCAAATCTTATGTGCTGTTGTCGAGCTGTCAGTTTCCTAGGCTTGACCCTCATATGATGGTATGCATCACTACCATCTGCCTCTGAGCTAGTAATTTGGTAGCTATAGGTTAAATAGCAGAGTAGACTGGGTTCTCTAGCCTTGAGTGGTAATCAGTTTAAGAGAAAGAAACTTCAGAATTTCAAATGAGAAATTACAATTGAACCTATTCTTCTCAGTTCAATGCAATTGCAAAATTACTGTCTATTTATCTGAGATATAAAAACTTATTTAACTATAATTATTTGTTAACTTTAAGATAACAGGAAATTCTACATCCATTGTTATCAAGAGTGATGGGCAGTTTGCCCATCTCTATGTAGTAGATATTTCATTTTATACATGTAGATAACTCCAATTCAGAAGAAAAAAAAAACATCCCAGAATTATTTGAAGATCTTACATAATTTTTAATTTTATATTTTCTGGTATTCAACTCTGATCAAATCTGTTTACAAATTACCTAGATAGACATGGTTTTATTTACATCATCTGTAAAATATTAATAATTAAATTGGCCACACTTTCTTGTTTGATAATCAAGGATTGATTGCCTACAAATGTGTTTTTCAAATTCCGATTTTAAAATAGCCTGGATAGATAAGGTTTTATTTACATCATCTTTAAAACATTAATTATTAATTTCACAACACTTCTTTTTGTTACAGATATATTTTTAGTTACACTAGAATATTTACGCACACACACCAACATATGGTGTATGTAGGCATAAGCTTTTAACTTCTAAAAGTTTGGTTAAAGACAAAGTTCTTTGTTAAGGATTTTTTTAATTTATTTTTTCTATATTTTGGATGATATTTCTGGTTTTTTAATAAATATTTAAAAAGAAATTGTTCAATGGCTGATTACTCTTGGTGTTTATAATCCATTATCAGAGTCTGTTTTTGTCAGTTTTATCGTTTTCAAATATTGCCTCTTTATATCTTCACATGATGGACTTTTTTTTTTTCTAATCACAAAATCTAAATATATATCTGTAAGATCGTAACATGAATAAAGACAAGAGAAAAACTTATCATAACCAACACATTTCATCCTCTGATAGACAAATGTAAGGATTTTATTAAACTAACAACGTTTTTACTTCTGTTTATAAATAAAATCCATACGTTTACCTTCATAAAGTCTATAAGGGGACCAAGTCTTTTGTCTTCATCCATATCATATATATATATATGTATGTATGTATGTATATTTAAGTGACATATTTTCATTTAAGCATGTTCCATTAAATAATATAGATATATTACTATTTATTTTTATGATAATCCTTTCTAGGTATATAATTATCTTCTTGATGTTAAGTTGAAAGTTATCAGGGAAGATAGCATATTTTTTGCTAACCCAAGTGTATATATATATATATATATATATATATATATTTTATAAGTTTTTGTGTGACACATTTCATTCCTTAGGACTTCATCGAAACATGTGACATGAAAACTTTTTACACTTTGTTATAAATCATTCGTCCAAAACTGTTCTTGATATATATATATATATATATATATATATATATATATATATATATATATATATATATATAATAGAGAAAAAGAGTTTGTTTAAAATTTGCTATATTTTGTGGGGGACATCATTCCTTCAAAATTCTTGATATATAAAATTTATATATATATATATATATATATATATATATATATATATATATATATGTGTATATATATATATATATATATATAATGTAGAGAGAGAGGGAGAGTTTGCTTAAAATTTGCTATATTTTTGGGGTACGTTTTCTCAATATCAGAGACAGAGCATTTCTCTATATAGACAGTGGGGACATAGGAATCAACACTTCATGGTGACTTTCAGTTTCATACTTTAAGTGATCTTCATAACTCGATTTATGAACACACCGTTTATATCAACAAATGCTCTATCCATGATATTGGGCATTCTTCTTGATAAATATAGCAAAATTCTAAATGCATAACCATTAAGTATAAATGAATATTTACATCACCAATATCAATCATTTTCTCTAATTAACTCCAGGTTTCGTTATTCAATTTCATTAGTCAGACAATGATGACAATGAACTCTTTGATGGGACTATCCTGTTGACTTGGATTCTGACTTTACATGAACACTCCTCCCCCGACCTCCACTGACTCTATTATTATTATTATTTCTTTTTTTTTATTAGATGTATTCACAATGTTCTTGTCTACTGATTGCTTTGTATTTGTCCATCCTTTTTCATTCATTCTTTTTTGTCTGTTTTTCAGTTTACATATCTCGGATTCATTTTTAATGTCATGCCATCTGTAGGGCCAAAACTCAACAATGCATCTCTGATTCAAAGGTGAGCAGTTGTGTACAATAGAATACTGTTTTTTGTAAGTATAGCAGAAAAGTGCCCAGCCTTTGTTCATTGAGGCATTGTTTTGATGTGAAAGACCTTATTCTATCTAGAGGCAAACCAGACTTTCCACCAACACCTCATCCAAGCATAGATTAAAAAAAATGAATAAATAAATAAAAATATAAAAGGTTAGGTTTTCATTTAGACAGACAGCTTTCTTTTATTTTATTTTTTTTTGCTTTTTGTCTTTTTTTAAAGGTGTTGTTTTTAATTTTGGTAGAGTTCAGTTGAATGTAGTATTGTCCCAAACCCACCCAGACCACAGCCATTTACCAATAATTACACGGGGTCTGTTTTTAGAAGTTACTCGTGTTTTATGTCCCATGAAAATTCACAGAAAGACAAAAAGTAAACAATGGATGACATTATTTGCAAGACTTTAATAAAAAATGAATATCAGTTAATTTCCTTGAGGTCTGTGTTCACTCTCTGGATGAAAAAAGTTTTTATTATCATAAGAATTAAAGAGACTAAGTAAAACAGAATTTGAATATAAATAACCCTATCCAATTTATCTCCCTTGAATTGTTACCGAATCAAATCATATTACCATACTATAATTCTTCTTGTTCCTTGGTTAGTTATACCCTGCTAAAACTTCATGAATAATGGACTATTCCATTTTTAATTGTAAGGAAAGACAGAAAAGACATATCAGAGATGCAGTTTGATTTCAATAGGAAAAGAAAGAAAATTAGAAAAGATAGCAGCAACAATGTTCTCTGGTGTTTAATGTCTGCTTCAGTGAAATGGAAAATCTTATCAATTTTAAATCTTTTCATTTGTACCCTCTTACTTCTTTAAATAATGACCTACATTCATGCTTATTATTGTTATTGTAATATTTGGTTAAATTGTTTTAAGCTCAGTTATTTAACAATGCAAAAGGGAGATTTACATGTATATCATATAGCTGTAGAAATCGCAAGGGCTTAAAGCCATATCCCATTGAAACACTGGTTTTCATATGATCACCAAAGTTAAGCAACATCAAACCTGGTCAGTAACTAGATGGGTGACTGCTTGGGAATACCAGATGCTGTAAGCTTAGATGTGTCAGGTGATGTAATAGATAATGGCTTGGAAGAACTGGAACATTGAAAGCTGAGTTCCAATTCCATTTGGGTTTGATATATTCAATAACATGCAAATATTGCTTGGCAAAGGTATGAATCTGCCTCTTCTCCCCCATCTATGGATTATTGAGTAAGACTTGCATCAGTAAATCATTATTATCTCCTCTCAAAATTCTTATAATCTAAAAAGATTTTTTGGCTTTAAATAATATGCAAAAGGTTGATAAACTGTAAAAAAAAAACAAATCAATCAAACAATAAAACTCACAAGGAGCTTATTCAATCATTAATTTAAGAATTATAATTAATCAGAAAATTCAAATAGCAAAACCGTGAAATTTTCATGAATAATAATAGTTTTTATAAATCTCTATGTTTTTGGTGATGTGTTCTTATGGCTGGATGATGATACCAAATCTGTCTGTAATGACCAACTCTTTCTAATATTGTCTCCTCATCTTAAATAGGATACTTGTCATTGTTGTTCATTCTGTTTTATTTTCTTATATGTTCCTTCTAAATTTCCAATGAAGAATTTACTTTGTTTTCCCAGTACTCCAGTGATCATTGGTGTATAAAGCCTGGGGGCCACTCAAGGAAGAGGGTTACATCAAGATATCATTATAATATGGTGTAATTTCTGGATTCCTTTTTCAAGAGATCCAGAAAATCTTTTGATTTTTTTTCTATTATTATTATTCATTCTATTTATGAAAAAGTATTCCATTTATTATTATTATTATTATTATTATGTAGTCTCTGCATATTCACACGAGTAGTAACTGTTGTGCTAAACTGGAGATTAAATGATAAGCCTCTTCAATCACAATCTTCTAGTCATTTTCAATAATGTTATTGACTGGACGATTCTAACTCTTCTTTTCATTTCCAGCTCCTGTTTTCTTTTTTTAAGTTCTTTAGGACTGTTCCCAGTACTCTGATAATGAAAAGTATGACTGTTATCTTCCTGTTAAATGACTTCCCCATTTTCTTGGAAAGGTCAAAATAATAATCTAATTTTTAAAAATTTTTTTTCAGATGGTCTACCAAAATGGTGAAATCCACTATCTGGTATAATTTCTTTTTTTCATTTATTTTATTTATTACTAACCCAGCTACCCCATCCTGGGTAAGATGATAAACTACATCCACATCTTGGGTAAGATGATAAACTACATCCACATTTTGGGTAAGACAATAAACTACATCCAACAGCAAGGCCTCTGAGGTTTTGAGGAGCATGGAACCCCCTCTTGCTAGTGTTCCCAGGTCCTGACCTGGAGTGGTAGTACCTGTTAGGGTCCCAGCTATAGGCAAATAGTTAACCCTCAAATTGGGTCAAAACATTATAAAAGTTTTAAAATAGTTTTTAATACCAGCAAGACATTTTTGTAAAAAAATTATTACCAGCAATGAATTTTTGAAGAAAAAATTATTACCAGCTATACATTTTTGAAAAATAAACTATTACCAGCAATAAAAAATCTTGTCGGCATTAAATAACACATTGAAGCTGATATCCCATAAACCAAACCAAACCAACCGATCAGCTATTAGACCAATATGGGCACAACTAATAGGTGGTAAAAAATTTTAACAAAGACACACATTGTAAAAAAAGTACAATTACCATCTGTCCATATAATCAAAATTTATTTTGATCTTCATTTTTGAAGCCGTCAAAAGTCTTGGCTGCTAAAAGAGGGAGAATATCCCGCTTATTTTCTACCCACTGTGGAAATTAATATTTTTGTATGTTCAGACGATAGAACAGTATTTGTATTTTTAATGTATGGATTTATACTGGTTTTCTTGAAAACCTCTTTCATCAATTGAATTTACTATTGTAAATACTTGTATTAATTTAAGGCTCAGACAATCAATTTGGATGGGAGCTTCCTAGACCTCACCCTCCAGCCTTAATAGAGTCAAAAAAGAATCTTGTTCAACACAATGTAAATAAACCTTTCTGAAGATTTACTTATTGAGAGTTCATCTTGTTTTAGTCTATACTTACTGTGTGTGGTCACTTTACACTCAGCATAATATACAACAGTTAAAAAAAGTACAAATTGATTCATTTTTTTATGGTTTATAAACCCTTTATTTTTGTAAGAAGATTTGTGGGGAGATAATAATCATTTAGTGATACAACTCTTACTAATTAACCCATAACATTAATTAAAATTTGCTTAAAAACTAGTAAAGGCAACTATTGGGTTAATGTTTTACACTAACATGAAATGGAATGATTATATTGAATCAATTGCTAGGTCAGCTGCTAGGAATTTTTCATTCACTGTGACAATCTAGAAATTTTTTCTTGCCAGAATCTATCTTTTATATATATATATATATATATATATATATATATATATATATATATATATATATATACAAGTCTACCATTCATATATGTATCTATGCATAGAATATTCCTGCTACATATGGTCTGGTGCTCCTACTATATATTTAAAGATCCTTGATAAAATCCAAAGAAGACTCTGCAATATTATTGATCCTGACCTGGCATCTCACCTTCAGTTACTTTCACACTGCCATAATGTAGCTTCCATATGCCTTTTCTATCAATACTTTTATGGTAAAGGTTCTGATGAACTCTGCTCTTTGATACCTAGACTTTATGAATTTAAGCCCAGTACCAGATTTGCAGCAAGATATAACTGTAAGTTCTATGCTGAAAGTTTCTTTTTTCCTCACTTCTTACCTGTGAAACTCTCTTCCGGCTTCCTTCTTTCCTGTTAACTTTGATCTTTAAAAATTTAAATGCAATGTCATCTTCTGTCCTCTTAAATTCTGTTCATTTATTGTGCTCACTCCTTAATGTTTTTCTTCTATTCTTTCACATTCAGTAACCCTCTGTGTGTTATTGGCTCTGTTGCTGTGCTTAGGCTTGAAATGAAAAAAAATCTATTAAGATCTATATGAACTCACCCTCAAGTTACAGAAACAAATTAAGAAGAATTTGCAAATGAATAAAAATAAATAAATGAGGACTACTCTGTAATTAACCAAGATCAAACAATATTTAAAATGTCAATTTAGCTTTATTTGTATTTCTACTAATCCCTAATCAGCAGTAGTTGAGTGTTAGATGGTTTTTTAACATGCATGTATGCAATTTAGAAAAAAATATCTTCTTAAAGTGTAGAAATGTTTTTTTTTGAGACAATGAAAAGTAAAAGGAAATGTGACTAATTATTGGATAAAATAATGTTAAATTAAAAATTAAAATAATGACAATTTTTTTTTTACAAAATAAAAGTGTCATTATTTCAAGCATAACATTATTTTAAACAATAATTCATCACCTTTGTATTTCTTTGTCTCTTGCAATATTGATATGACCTTCTACTGATATGTTTCAATGTTGATAATATATTCAATATTGACATGAATTTCTACTGATATTTTTTGATATAGATAATATATTTAATATATTCAATATTAATATGACCTTCTATTCAGATTTTGTCAAGAAAACCAAGGACATAAACTGGATATTTATTATTGGAGGGAGAAGAAACAGTAGTAAAAAAAACATTTTTTTTAAAATTATCTGGAAATAAGTAATGAATTAATTTATGAAAATAATAATAACAGTAATTATTGGTATAAAAGTTATAAATAATAATTGTAATAAACATAATAAAAAAGAGTAATAAAATTAACTGAAAATAAGTAATTAAAATAATATAATATTAATAAAATAATAGTAATAAATAAATAATAAAAGTAATAAAAATTATCAGCAATAAAGACTAATATAATATAAATAACAATAATAATAGTAATAAATAAAATATTAGTCATAAAAATTATCTGTAAATAATTAAAAGTAATAAATATAATAATAGTAGCAATAAATAATAATAAATATAAATAATAGTAAATAATAAATAATAATAGAAATAAGAGTAACAATATGTAATAATAATAATAATAATAATAAAATTTTTTGAAAATAATTAAAAAAATAAAATAATTATAATAGTACAAAATATAATAATGATAATAATAACAGTAATAAAATCATTTGAAAATAATTAATTAAAAAATAAATACGATAATATTCATTAATAATAATAATAAACACACAATACTAGTAATAATAAAATGATTGATCAATTCATTTTCTATGGCTTATCAGTCCTTTGCAGGTTATTTAAAGCCAGAAAATATTTTTTATATTGTAAGAATTTTATTTTTAGTAGGGATGGGAGATAATAATAGTTTAGTGATACAAGTCTTACTAATTAACCCATAACTGAGGGGAAAAGAGGTGGATTCATACCTTTCTCAAGGGTATTTTCATGTAAGTAAATATAATGAACTCAAAGGGAATTAAAACTCAGTACTTCGATTAACAATTCCAAGCCATTATCCATTACACCACTGGCACATTCAAGCTTACAGCACATGGCATTCCAAAACATTTACTCATCTAGGTACTAACCAGAATCAACATTGCTTAACTTTAGTGATTGTACGGGAACTGGTGGTTCAACATATTGTGGCCATAAGCCTAGTAATGATAATAATAATAAATAATAATAATAGTAATAATAATAATAATAAGAAGAAGAGCTTTATCTGTATATAATGCGTGTGATCTTAGTATTTCTTTTAACAAAAATGATCTATGGAAAATGTCATGAAGCCATTTCTGACCTTAGGTCTCTGGTTGGGACCCAGAAGGAAATGTGTATACAACAGAAATCAAAGGAAATAATAAGAAGAAGAATTGTATGCAAGCATACAGCACACAGATTATGAAGAGCTTTATCTATGCAAAATATGTGTGATGTTAGGGTTATTTTTTATTTTTTTTATAAAAATGATCATTGAAAAATGACATGACCTTAGGTCTCTGGTTGGGACCCAGAAGGAAATGTGTATACAACAGAAATCAAAGGAAATAATAATAAGAAGAATTGTATGCAAGCATA